GGGACAGGGCTTGTCAGCGTTCAGCTTCACTAACAGGAAGTGGTGACCAGTGTGTCCTGTCTTCCTGTGGCAGTGTGCAGGTGGTCTGAGGGGGCCCACTTTGCCAGAGATACCCTAGTTACCTCTGCAGCACTCCACGCTTCCCTAAACTGAGTTCTCCTCTCACTCGTACGGGAGGTCTTCCATCTTCCATCAGGTACTGCGCTAGGGGTCAGCCATGCAAAATCAGTTGTCGCAGTGCTTGGCTATGAAGAGACAAGAATGGAGACTGAGTTAAGCCAATAGTTACGGCATAGCGTGATAAAAGACAGAAGTAGGTGACAGTATAGTGTGCCGTGGGCAGGCATCACTGGTGCTCCCTGTGGGAGGTGGCACTGAAACCGAGTGCCTGGCCCAGGACCAGCACCCAACAAATAGATCCGTGCGTGAAGAAGGCCACCACCCGTACCCCAAGTAGTAACTACTGAGGAATAACCTAACTTGACAGGTAACTAACGAGGGAAGGTCTCAGAGTAGAAGTTTTGAAATTTATCCTGGCTACCCGTCATTCATTTTCATCAAAATGTAAATGGGTTGGCAAGGTAGATCTTCACACTGCCTCTGCTGACCTAGCACTTTGGTGACTGCTTCTCAAAGTGTGGGTCGGGGACCAGCAGCCACGACATCACCATTGCTTGGGAACTTACTAGAAATGCAGAGTCTTAAGCCCCATCCCAGACATGCGGAATCAAAGTCTGAGCATGCAGCCCAGCATACTGTTCATCAAGCCCTCCAGGTGATTAGGGGTGAGTGCTTTTGGGGAACTACTGCTTTCGTTGTTGAGAGTTGGTGAGTTCCCTTTCTAAGAGACTGGGGCTGGGATTGGACACCTCCTCATCCCTTCCTGCCCTCACCTTTTACCTAGGGAATCCGGTAGACAGTTGGTTCCTCCACTCTTTTCTCCCAAGAGGCAGGGAAGGGCCAGTGAGGAAATCCAGTCCTCTAGGTGTGCAGAGGCTGAGGTTTTTCTTCTAAGCGTCCGTCCGTCTCTAGGCCCTCCCTAGACTCCACTTGACAGCTCTTGACTGCTTCATCCGCGCTTTTGAGCAGACCGCTCACGCTGGGATTGCAGCCAGGGCCTGCTGTGTGTGTGCTAGTACTCAGCGAAATGAATCACCCTGAAGCACTTCCTGGTGATCATCCCAATTAATCAGGCCTCATCCTTCTGGGCACCAGATCAAGTGGATTTGGCTTATAATCCCAATTTGGTGGTTAAACTGCAACTCTGGTGTCCATCCAGGCAATTAATTAGATCACTTTTCTCCCTGGAGGATGCAATTCTCTGGAGTCTGGTCTCCAGCAGCTTGCCTCAGTGGCCCATGCAGCCTGGTGTGGCAGCTAAGCCTGCACTAGTGTGGGGGATTTTTTTGGTTTGTTTATTTTTTCTTACATGTACTATTTTTGTCTTTGCTTTGCAGGAATGAGCTAGAGCGACAGTTTCTTGAATTGCTCCAGTTCAACATCAATGTTCCTTCCAGCGTTTATGCCAAGTATTATTTTGATCTTCGTTCTCTGGCGGAAGCAAACAACCTGAGCTTTCCCTTGGAGCCCCTGAGCAGGGAAAGGGCTCACAAGCTTGAGGTATGATGCTTTAAAACATTGTGTTTGGGTGCACTGTTGCAGATGCATCATCTGGGTCCCACAGAAGTGTGTGAGCACGTGGCAGTTTCTCCCACTGTGGTTGTTGTAAAGTAAGGACAAGGCACCTGGATTTATAACTGGCCAGTTAATTTAGTTAACTATAATTTGTACAACTTCATATTTTAATAACTTTCCTAATATCAGTTTTTACTTAATGTGCACTGATTCTCTTTTGAAATCAAAGCTTCATTTTAAAGCCATATTCTTATAGATAGGTTTAAAAAAAAAATTATAAGCCCACAAAAAAAGTGTTTCCCAGCATGTACTTTTTTGTGTGTGTGTGTGACCGGTAAGGGGACCGCAAACCTTGGTTTGGTGTCTCCTGCACCGCTCTCAGCCAGTGAGCGCACCGGCCATCCCTATCTAGGAACCGAACCCGGGGCAGGAGCGTTGCTGCGCTCCCAGCGCTGCACTCTCCCGAGTGTGCCACGGGGTCGGCCCCCAGCATGTACTTTTATAGGAAAAAGCTACTGTATATCCGTAACAGTTGAGATTCCGAAAAGGTTTGATTCTGCTTTTATTTTTTTTTTTCCCAAAATATTTTTTTCATAGCTCAGTTTGAGCTGCAACGAGCCCCACTGGTCTTGGTCTGGGTTTAGGGCCTTCCGTATGAAGCTAGATGTCTCATCACAGCATACTTGTGTGCAGCTCAGTTTCATATTTTCACCAGGCTCTTCCCATCTGACTTTGTGACAGAAGAGGTGGGATAGTAAGCAGGACCATCAGTGAGCACCTCTTCTGCAGAGAGTGTGTGCTGAGGCCTCTGGACCTTTGTCCCTGGGCATCACCTTGGTTTCCCCTTTAGAGCTTTGGATCAAAGTGGTAGATGGCGCAGTTATGTCCCAAGCTTAGTGAGACCCAACATGTCCTCATGCTGCCCACCTGACTGTCCATCCCAAGTGGAATGGACAGGGCCAAGATGGAGCACGTGGTGGTCCAACAAGGTGAATAGCTGTGTACAAGACGAAGTCTCAACGTAGGAGGAAGACAGTTATAATGGACTGCAGGCTCAAGAAAGCAAACTTTTTAAATAAAAATTTTTAACCCCAAGAAGGAAACTAACTCTGGAAAAGATTGGATGTGTAACACTGGCTTTAAAATAAAAATCCAGCGAGGTGTTCAGAAGTCACCCATTTTGCCATAATTGTGCACCAGCCATTGGAAAGAACACACTGTTGAGTCTCTTGTTTCTCACCTATTCAAGAGGAACAATGGAGAACCCTCCCTCTAAAGGATTTGCTGCAAGGCAAATGCTGTCAATCCCTCACAAGCACATCTGTGACACAGAATTCGGATTTCCCAGTGAGCGTGAGCCCCTCGCAGCCTGCGCTGCAGCCCTGGCACCCCCAGTGTGCTGACGTAGGCTCCAGTCACTCCTTCAGTGCTGGGAGAGGAGCTCGGAGCTCCTGGCAGTCGCTTAGCCCCACAGGAAAGCAGGTCTGTGTTCTCCACTGGACAGTAGCTAGTGCTGCAGGTCAGCCAAATCATCAGAGCGTGGGCTGGCTGAGATTGGTGGCGCTGGGCCTGCTTCTCCCTCCATTGCGTTTGTCTGAGTGCAGAGAATGGAGAACTTGGCTGCTTCTGGGGCTGCCCTGCCACGTGCCCGCTGGGCGTACCAGGGCAGGCAGAAAGGCCAGCCATGTCCTGACAAGGCTGTTCTTTCTCTTCTCCTAATACCTGGAGCCTTCCCAAGACTCAGGCCATTGCCCCCCCAGGACAGGCTGGCTCACCCTTTGTCACCTAGTGCTGGAAACCTTGCTCCTGGCCAAGGCACTCCCCACCTGGGCCTGCCGGTCCTCATCAGCAGAATGTTGCCCATCTCTACAGCTCGGGTTTCTGTGATCCTCTCCTGGTTTCCTACCTTGGCGAGCATCCTTTTCTGCTCTGAGTCTCTAGTTAGTGGCACAGCCGCAGCTGCCGGTTGCTGCCAAGCACTGAGCTCCCCTCCCAGCGAGGCTCAGCTCGAAGCTCTTGTGCTTCAGAGCAGCCCCGCGGGGAAGGGGCTGTGACTGCCCGCCATGTCCATGAGGGTGCAAATGATTCCAGAGTGGGTGCACTCCTGCGCTCACGCATCCCTCCGTGGGGCACCAGCGTTGTGCTCAGTCTGGCGGACCTGCAGGCTGCAGGCACTGTCTTGTGATTATGTCACATGGTGGCATTCTTTTCTCAGTTCGACTGTGAGCACTTCCGGAAAGGGGGACTATGTCCACACTTCCCTGGTATCCCCACTGCAGCCTGCAGAGACCTTGGCATGGGATGCCAACTCCACAGGGGTAGGGACTCTTGTCAGTTTTGCTGACGAAGTGTCCTTGCTATCTAGAGCGATGCTGGCACACACAGGCGCTGGCATATGTCTACCAAGTGGCAGATGGGGGCACTTTGGTGGCACTTGCTCCTGAATCCAGCCCTGACCCGAATTGTCTCTCTTGCCCCTCAGGCCATCTCTCGCCTCTGCGAGGACAAGTACAAGGACCTGAGAAGATCCACGAGGAAGCGGTCAGCAAGTGCTGACAATCTGGCTCTGCCCAGGTGGTCCCCGGCCATCATCTCCTAACCGCGCACGTCCCGCGGAGGCCCGACCATCCCTCACTTTCTCCTTTAGTTTGAGGAAAGACAGACTTGGGATGGTTTTGTTTTTGTTTTTTCCTTTCCTTTTCTTGTTTTAGCTCATAACTCCGTCAGGCTGCCTTGGTGACCGCCTCTGCGCTGGGTGGCCTGCACACAGCAAGGCTTCAATTGTCGTCAGTATTCTGGAAATCCTGTGTGACGCCTTTCCCCACCATCACTAACAGCACTTCCTTCATGGAGGAAGCGGACTGTCATCCTGGAGGAGGAAACGAGGGGAAGGGAAAGTCGTGGAGAGGCAGGGAAATGGTTCAGTGGCTCGGCCGTTTCTTAAGTCCCCGTCTGGTCAGTAGCCGATAGGACGGAAGCCACAGCAGTAGATAACAAAGTCGGATGTGCATTAGTGACACAGGTGCCGCCTGCGCCAGCCCCGTGCGGGTCAGTGTGTTCTGTAAGACTTCCTGCATTCCTTCGAGCTGCTTTTCTGGGATTTGGGGGTTCTCTGTTTGTTTGATTTTGTTCTGTTTTGGTTTTAGTCCCACAGAGCAGAGAATATAGTTTGTACCCACCATGGCACAGACATCCAAATAAATAGTACTGGTTGTTTCTCTCTGCACCATTTTTGCAAGCTGTCTTCTGAGCCTCCTTCCTCAAAAGTGGGATGTGCTTGTTATATTTCTGTACATCTTTATTTTATACGGTGTTTCTTCAACAGTGGCAAAATTAACTTGACTGTAGTGCTAAACCAAAAGTATCCATTTCCCTGTTTATTCCTCACCCCGAGAAAATTCTAGGTCACATGGGTGCTTGTGCCTTCTGATTTTCTTGCAGTTTTTTTCTCTTACCTGAAGTTGTAATTACAAAATCAGTCTGACTTTGTGGGCTGAAGGAAACAATTTGCAGCAAAGGGTATCCTTTGGATGGGAATTGTTGGAGAGTGCCAGGTGTTTGCCTGAAGTTACTGAGCAGGAACCGGTTCTTTGTACTCTCTGCCTAGTTCATTCCTCTACTTCCAGCGTCCATTGTTGCAAGCAATATTCTTCTCAATTTTTATATGTTTACTTTAAATCAAAGTTAGTCTATTTGTATAAAATTTTTTAAAAATCTAAAATAAAAAAAACAAAGGTGGGCGGGTGTTTCAGTGGGAAGATTGTTGAAATGTTACTATTTACTGAGGTATTTTTCTCAGAATGATTGAATAAAAAAACTCAACTTGCATTTTCATTTGTGGGTGCTTAGAGAAGTTATACAAAATTCGAACTGTGACGGTTTCCGCCTCATTCATTATGACCGTACTTCATTTTCTGACTGACTACCCCTGATTTCCTTACGGGCCAGATGAGAATCTTTTATATCTAGTAAAACAAAAGGTTTAATAATAGAACATCGAATAGTAAATTTGATATTAAGTCTAAGAATCTGAGTCATTAATGCATATAACGCTTTGGGTTTTTGCATATTTTCTTAGGTTATAATGACAGAGGTTTCTGAGTTTTTGCTTTTTTCAAGTCTCTGTGAGGCAAATGGCAGCAGATGCTATGTTTCACCTTCCTCCTACGTGAGCTTGGAAAACTTTGAAATCTTATATTAATTAGTGTCGAGTACCCTAAAACCATACACCTGATCCCCAAACATGTCTGCTGTCAATGAAATGTGCTTTGGAAATGGAAGGGACTCAGAAAGTCATAATCCCAAGAACACCAAGCCAAAAGTGCTAGTCAGGTTTCAGTCAAATTTGTATTTTACAGAAACATTACTTTGGGGGTCAGAAATATCAAGTTCTTTCTGGCCTAAAGTTTAAAAAGCAAACAAGCAAAATATGAAAAGTTAATTACCTTTCCATTGTGATTGTGTCGATATACTCTGTGTGGGTACCAAAATGAGCTTCTCTCTTCAAGTAAGAGTTGAATTTAGAACTTTGAATACAGATCTAAAAATGTAGAAAATATCATTTTATATTCCCTAATCTATATAGCTTGAAAAGGGACATATTTTCTTAGATGAATATGAATACCTCTTAAACATAAATTAGTTCCTCTCATGTAAAATATCTTATTTTACCAATCCATTTCAGGAAAGAGGTTCTGCTGCCTTTATAGCAGAAATCTTATTTTTATCCCTTTTATTTGAATGAGAGATTTGAAAATTGAATTATGTAAATATTTCAATGCATCTGCTATTATTTTGTG